TAAGAATATGATGTAAACTTGTTTTTTAAAAGGCATCTTTGGTTTGCGTTAAAACAACTTCAACAGACGCAATGTTCTGATTGCACCACAAATGCTTTATATTGTGTGGCTTTCCTCTTCCAGAATCTCTACTGACAATTATCTGGGTTGCTAATCCTTGTACCTCCCTTTCTTTCTTGATTGTCTCAAACTCACATAATTTCACACAATCTTTGCAAGCGAGAATATCTTGCTCTTCTCCTAAGAATCTTCACCACCTTAGAACTTTTAAGCAACAATTCAGCTGTTTAAAAATGTTAGGGAAAACTTTTGTCTCATAGAGCACAGAGTACTTATGCTGCAGTGGGGGGGAGTAAATTATCTTACCTTTAGCACTTTTATGGAATTATGAGTTCAGGGAGTCTGTGAAGGAGAGGAAATCATAGTAATTAATTGGATTTAACTGAATGACCATTTCTAACATCAAAATGCTGTCGAATGAAATGATTATTACCTTAAAAAAATTTTAAATGTGTTTTTTTTTTCTTCCTGCATCCAGTGCATCCTTCCCATGCAGTTTCAAAAATGTGGATTCCAGGACTTGACGTTTCCCAGTGTTACTTCATCTGCAATGACGAATAAAGATTCGCAAGTGGCTACAATTGTCCTATCTGCAGAAGCTGGATTTTGTAAACCTAGACCCAGAGACAGAAAATATAGTCTTCCCACTGGAAACTTAATTCTGATACTTTCACATTAACTGCCTTGAAATGGATTATTTTGTATCTAACCAATGCAAATCCCAATTCTCTCCACATATATTTGATGCTGAAACTACAGGAGATATAATTTGTCCACTTCTTGATTTATTTTATTTATTTGTTTAGGGGATGGCATCAAACTTGTGCCTCACTTTCTTTCGCCTTCGCACTTCTATAGAATAAACACTTCTACTGCACTATTCTGAGGGGGTTTCCATCATTTCACAGGATTTCTAAATGTTTGATTGAAAGTGTATTTTATTTCTCCAATCCCAAGTGTTCTTTCTTTTTATATGTCAATTTCTCCAATGGCACCAGGGCTGGGATTCTACCGGTTTGCACCAGTTCTGACGAACTGGTAGCTCCGACTATCAGCTGCCCGCCCCTGCTCTATACTATATTCCTTTTTCTGAAGCCCAGCTGATAAGCGCGGCAGAGTGGATTGCTGCACCTCATCTATTTCCCTCCCCAGCAGTAATGCGGAAGGTGGTTTCTCTGTAACCTGCCTGCGCGCGAAGCATGCGTTCAACGAACTGGTTGTTAAACCGGTAGGATCCCACCCCTGATGGACACCATTTCTCTTGTTCTTATAACTTGTTCACAAGGTCACTCAGCACTGAAGAATAAGAAGCTCAGCATTTGAGTATTCATCTTTGTTCCCAGCATAAATGTTAATTGTTAGTTTCAGTCTGAATCATGCTGATCCTATTCAACTAGCTAAACATGATTAACATGTCACTACCACTTTTTATCTTTGACCAAGGGTGCTGTTTGCTTGCATTCAAAGTTGTGTCATCTCCAGGATGGAAACAATGAACAAAGTATTATACAACCACAGAAGGAACAATAGTTTCTCTGCTATTTAGAGTGTGTGTGAACATAGCTTCTAATCAGGCAGTTCATTCTGACATTCACAAGCAAAGCCCCTATCACAAGGACGGATCTAATTTCTAGAAAAGATAATGGGAATCTTTCTTCCCCATTACTCCAAGTACAAAACACACACAAACAATTCTGAAGCCTGCTGGTGGCATGATCAGGAAACATACAATCAGGGGTGGGTTTCAGGCAGTTCGCGGTGGTCCCCGCGAACCGGTTGGTCGGCGAACCCGGAAGTAAGTAACTTCTGGGAACGCCGAAGGGTCCACCTGCCCGCCCGTGTTTCTTACCCGGTTTTGCCAAGTTTTGCGCTTCCACCCATGCGCAGGATGCATACAGCACCTGCGCGATCCTCCAGGAGCAGCTGGAGCATCGCACAGACGCTAGTACGCATGTGTGCACTGCGTGCGTGCACGAGGATGCCGCCGGCCCCGTTCCAACCGAACCGGTTGGAACAAGGCGAGAAACCCACCCCTGCATACGATTGTATTGCATAACAAAAACATTGGGAATTGACTTACAGCTACTGGAAGGCTTAAACCAGGGGTGTCAAACTGGCAGCCCACGGGCCAGATGTGTCATGCATAGTCCACACCCACCCCAGCTCCACAAATGGGGAAAACATTGCAAAATGTCATGTGACGTCAACGTGATGCAGCGAGTTTGACACCCGTGACTTAAACTATTCAGTTTCATTCCTAATCTTTCCTCCCATGCCCATCATCTAAGAGGTCCTCGTGGTATTTGTACAACCAAATGTTTATTGGCCTCTGGAAC